ACATATCCTTTCGAGCTGCACTTAAGAGCCACTATATCAGGCTCAATTGCTTCAAACACACGAAGGGTTTGACTGAGTGGTGTACGAGTACGCTACCGGCTTCCCTTTGACCTACCTTCAGAAGATTCAGAATGTCGTGATGTGGTTGAACGAAAAAACCTTTCTCAGGTGGCGCTACAGCGCATATATGTTCGTGAGGTGGATACTCCCAGTTCAGGGTAACTTTGCTTTTTTTGCTAGCGTCACCGCTTGGTTCAGGGTAATACCGAACTCGTATATTCCAACCCCCCCAAAAAAAAACACCAATACCATGAAATAATGGTAATTCATCTTCTAGAACATAATAAATAGCAATTGCAAGTCCCCCTTGCCTTGCGTATATTACATCCATGATTATATTATCTATGTTTCCAAAAAAAAACAAACCCATGAGGGTTATAACTAGGTAGTGAAAGTGCACGCACGCCCAGGCCCACTATGAGCAGCCGGGTAAGCGAGCTAGCTGAGGTGTCACAAGAAAAATAATTGACTGGGTATACGTATATCGCTTGACATAAGACTGATTTTCGATGCAGCGTGCAACGGGCAAACGTTGCGACATGGTTGATTTTATCAAACTAGGTTGCTTTGGCTAGGTTTATTCTCCGACGTGAGGGATGGATGGATGGATGGATGGATGGAGGGAGGGAGGGAGGGAGGGAGGGAGGGAGGGAGGGAGGGTGAGCTCATTATAAACTTTGACCGGGGGGGGGGGGGGGTTAAAAAGCTTGGGAGGCGGGGATTAATTGTGAGAAGAACAAGTTTGATGCTCTGTACAAGTGGGTCGAGATGTACAATATGCTGTATACAAGACATCCTAGCAACCTATGTCGTCTGGCCTTCGTTGCACCAAGGTAAGGAGTCTCCATCCCAACAAGGTCCTTGCCGAGCTGGACACGAAGAAACTGACCAAGGTAGTACTAGGGTGGCTTGATGAGAGGGGGGGGGGGGGGATTCAACGATTGAGTGGGGTATAAAGTACATCCTACCTCATATGCATAACATGTCGACAAAAACCACCAATCACAACTAGAAATCGATACATTGAAGGGTGATTAATTACACACCGACCTGCGCAAATGAAATATTTCTACCCACACAAAAGAACTTGAAGAAGCAGTAGGTATGCATCACTCAAATCATGTACGAGTACAGTACATAGACGACTCAGCCACGCTCTCGGTACTTGAATTCGGACTGCGCCGCTGTGCAACATTGCAATTGTACGAGCACAATATCCTTTCCGCAGCTGTCACGATGGGTATACAGAAAATCATACATACATTACATACATTTACATTATATACCCATGCAACAATGTATGCATGGGTATGATTCTAATTGTACTTTGTACTATATCCTGTTTTTTATTACCTTCCCTTTGAATTTCTCTCGGCCAAATCTAGGCCCCCGGGCCCTCGACTACTGAGTACTTCACTACATTTACATACTCCCTACGTATACCATACTATGTTACCATTAGTATGAATTGAACTTAAGCCATGGCCAGGTTATATACGCCTTTACATCCTGTATAGCCTACGCATAATAAAGCTTTCTGGACGCAGAAATGAGCGCCCTTTTTCATCTTGCTCGAGTGGATCAGGTCTGCCTCTTGCGGCGCGCGCGGCCCCACATATAACTTCCGTCGGCCCGCGTCCCCATCCATATCTCAGAGATCTAGCTCTTTGGGCTGGAAGCATGCATTCATGAAGATAACACGATAGCCAGTAGCCTTTGAAAATCCGAGGACCAATACTCGTACGTATGTGGAATATGTTATTTCTCCGACTAGGAGCCATAGAGAGTAACGTACGGGCTATAATCCATATTATCAACGTACATAGTACTCACATATATATTTACGTACTTGAATACGATTGAATGAAAACATGGGTGGCCGGTCATGATATCCATTCAAATCATACGGTACTCAAGGGCATGTGCTCTTTTGAGAATTATCATACCCTACGGGTTCTCACCTTCAAGATATATTGTTGTCATCATATCTGCATGTATATATCCCCCGGCCCATTGCCTTGCAACAATCAACCGTTTCCCCGGTTCCGCGCCGGCTAATTGGAAGGGAAAAAAAAAAGCCCACCCTTCCTCCCTTCCTCCCTACCTCCCTCCCTCCCTCCTCCTGATGTATTACAAGAACTGGCATTTACCATAACCTTTCTCCGCTCATTACGGGATTAGTTTATATACCTGCACTCGAGTATATACCTACATAATCTGTAATAAGTCCATTACCCCCCCGCAACTTCATATGCATCAAATCGATATCACCCGGCAGTACTCACAAGGATAATAGGTATGTATTACAGCGGTACTACCACACCACATATACATACATCTATGTACGTATACTGTATATATCTAAAGTGCAAAAACCTGAATCATCGCTGATCAAACATTTAATTACAAGGCCTACATCAACGTCGACATACGTTGTACGTTACATTGAGGAGCTCTACTAACTACCTACCTACTATATCGTATACAAAGTACCTACATACTTATGGTATGTAAAGGGCTCAGATATAGGAATCTGTACTATATGACTCGAGAGTAAGTAATTTCAGGCATGTAATCTCTAAATCGATTCGGACATGGTAGTCAATTTTCTTTAGACGACGACGGGCTTATTTAGAGTCCCTTGTGAAAATTTACATCGGTATGATCCGAAGGAATGTTCTATGAATATACGAAGTATATATACCTATGTATGTAGTACATAAGCTAGGAATACATATTGCAAGTAAGTAAGGGTGATAATCTAGCTATAGACTTTCCAGGTATGATAGTGGAGTCCCACGTGGGAAGGACGGGTAGGTCCACCAGAATAGGAAATAGGATATCTCACGGGGAAAATTATTGTCGTTCACAGAAGTCATTTTTCTTCAAAGTATTGTAGTTGAAGAGAGGTAGGGATTCAGAGAGGGGGCTACTCTTAAGCTTTGAAGAGTATTTAGCCAACTCGTCAATTTTAAATATGATGGATTGCAATGTCTGTACATACATGTAATTTGCTTCACAATATTAATGATAGGATACCTATGTACTACTAACTTGAGCTCCAAATTCAAGAAATCACGAAAAGAGATCGAAGGAAAATGTGATTACAACATGTACGGCTGCTCCAATAAAAAAGACGCATTATTCTAGGTTGTGTCACCCTAAAAATATATTCAAACCCCACCCCTTCCTCTCATGACCCTACCTAACGTTAACATGGTCGGCCGCGGTCTTTCCCCACATGAACGAGAAAACGACTTAATAAAACGCAAGCCACATGTACCTAGATGGATTCCATGTACCGTCGAGTATACCTACCCATTACCCAACCGTCTTGTCCTCAAGTGAGAAAGTAATAACACACACCCACCCACCCACACACGTGGACATGCAATGCCTACCAAAAACGGGTTGTCAGCCAGCTAGGGAGGGGATGCTTAGACTACTCTACTCTACTCTACTCTACTCTACTCTATATCTTACCCAGCCTCACTTTCGATCGCCCTGCAGACAGACAGACACATGTGTTTCTAGACTATTTTCCTGTTCTCGTATTACCCATCGGATTGATAATTAGTAATATTTTTCAATTCACCCCCCGCAGATATCTTATATAGCTGAGGCATGTACTTTCTTAACTTACTCTGAGCTGACATGCCAGTCTAGATGGTGTTCTTACTCGAGCGGTCGGACGCCGGTATATGTGCATTGCTGCGTGATCCACCTAGCGCTTAGATATTTGATTATTTCCACATATGATGTAGCACGTACGATCGAGCTCAGCTTGTTTCTGTAGTCTGTAATTGACTACTCACATATGTATGTATATGAAGAATCAATGTGCATTTATTACATAGGTAGAACGGTGAATGATTTTCCAAAAGAGGTTATGCTTTCTTTCACTGCCGAAAGGAGCTCGAGGCTTAGCAGGTTCATGATTGGGAATTCGGCTTAAGGTGCTTGATCATGAGCTAGGGTAGGGTGTACATTACAATATCGAAACTTTGGATAAGAACATTCTTTCATCTTCTGAGATAAATGGATGCCTCATGGAATATATCGGAGGTTTGACAAAACGGTGAGTAGATGTCATATACTTATCATCGATACATGCCTCCTTTTGGAAAGGCCCTATGCGCGTTCTCATGATTACATTCTGATGTGTTGGGTTTACATGCCCGCTTTACAAAAGTATGGTAAGCTTGCTGTTCACCTGCGCACCCATCTTTCCAGATGGCGAGGGCTCCATGGATGATACCTTTCCTCATAACAATTTGACAAAGTGTCTGCCTAAATTGGCTAGCGATACACCAAGGACTTGTTTCGATTTCAGCCCGCTCGGATCCGCAGAGAATTATACCTAAGTAACATAGGAAGAGAAATATATCCAGGATCAATTGATTAAGATAATTACTGCTGAGGATTACAGACCAGCACATATCTAGACCTTTATCTGTCTGAATTCCCACAGCCGAGGTAGGTAAGCTATGTAAGTGGCAACTGACAGCTCCCCACCCTACAGACCAGAGAATCAGATATACCATATATATCCCCAGCCGAGGTAAGTGGCAACTGATAGCTCCCCACCCTAAGAACTAAAGAATCAGATATACCATATGTATATGCATAGCCATTGACGAGATTTAGAGTTATATAGTTATCGCAATTGCGCATGCATGCTCCAGAAAATGAACTGTTTCTGGGAAAGGAGAAGGCGGGGCGTGCTGTCAATATTCAGTCAGAGGGCAGTAGATCTGAGCTCCTATAATTGGGTAGTAGGTACGCTATCTCAAATGTATATGCCTTTTATATCATAAACTTACCTTAAGTAGTATGTATACGTTTTTTTTAACCATATCAAGTCGCTTTTGGTATCTTGGGTTGTTTTTAGTTCAAGCTACCTGACTCATGTATGACGCACTACCTCCCTTGACATGGAAGCCTGATTGGCTCAATGGTAGAGCGTCTCCCTCCTATTCCAGGATCCAGGAGAAGGTTGCGGGTTCGATTCCCGTGTTAGGTTCTTATTTTTTCGTTCGACATTTTTATTCCCCCCCTTCTACAAGAATTCCTTTACTGTTGAATACTTTAGGTAATTACAAGTGCGAATGCATCAACGATTACAGCCGCTAGCCTTTGTTTTACACATGGCTGGCTGGTTGGTTAAGCTTCAGGGTAACTCCAGTTATTTTAAACCAACCGAAATACAGCGATATCAATCACGAGATACATATTCAAGTCATTTTAATCACCAGTATGGTTTTTGAGCTTAGGGCACAAATGTCATATTTCATCTAATAGCATAACTTCAGTAATCACTCGGCGCGCTGAGAACTTGTGAACTGTTTTTTACGTCTATCAGGGTAACTCCTGTAATCCGTCAGCACAAGAATTTAAAATTTCGAATATGCAAAAATATAAAACGGAGTTCCCAGCCAGCAAGGCTGATGGTAGAGCGTCTCCCTCCTACTTTAAAGCATGGAATTAGGAGAGAGAAGGTTGCGGGTTGGCTTCCCGTGTTCGGTTCGGTTTCTTTCGTTTTGTGGGCTCCAATTTGGTCACTCACTGCACTGGTGTGTGTGCACTCATCTATCTTTCTCTCTTTCGCAAGTTTATGGTAAGTTCATAGGTAGTCCCGTGTCCTTAATATCATCTTATTTTATGTGTAGAGAATACAAGACAGGAAAGTATGGTGAAAATTTGTAGTCAAATTTAGTGTACATCTATATCTACAGTGAGTCTCCCGTTATAAGTATACTGAATATAAGCCTGAATGCTATTTATACGCATAAGTTATAACTCCTCTAAATGGCGTTTACACCGAACTAGACGTGCCTCTCATGATAAACAGAATTCCGTTCAAGATATCGGGCGTAACATCATGTCGTATCAGGGTAATCCTTCCCGTCCATCATAATAATGAAAACGTCCACGAGATAGAGGATGCGAACGAGATAAATGAAACTAGCGAATTTCCGCACGCCTTAGCCTGATTGGCTCAATGGTAGAGCGTCTCCCTCCTACTACAACGTTAAGTATGGAATTAGGAGAAGGTTGCGGGTTCGATTCCCGTGTTAGGTTTTTGTTCCCGTGGTCAACTTTTTGCCCATGAAGTTATGTTATTTCCCATTCCGTACCTTAGTGCGGCAGGCTTGTACCTAAAAGAGAGTTTAAACGCTCAGGGTAATCTGTAGTAAATACAAGCGGTGGCGCACCTAGGCCTATATAATTTAAGGGCTGGCGGTATTAATTGGTTGATTGAGCTCATGACCTACAAGGAGAGAGATATCGCCATCAAACGTTATTTTTTGCACATTTCGTGTACCGGGCGTGTAGAGGAGAAATGAGGAATATATTCAATGCATTACATTACGTTGACGCAAGCTTAAGCTCAATAGATTTTCGAATCAACATTACCTACAATCTTCCAATGGCTGCGGCGGAAACCGATTCTGTGGGAAAGAAAGGGCTAGCTGGGTTATTTGTTTGGGTTTGTATCGTTGCTCCAGGGTTACCCTGAAGTAAGTGTGTGTTTAAGGTTCGATAGGGGGGGAATGTTACTCGATTGTGATTAGTATACTTATCTGGCAACTAAAAATGACTTGAGAGATCTAGAGGAGAGAATGAGAGTGGATCAAGATGATTCGTTTTCGCGTTGTCCGGCCGGGTTTTGAATTACACGACTTATAAAAATAGAGGTATTCAAAGTTGAGGTGTACAGTACAAAACGTGTATGGTTCGTACGGTCGTAATTACGCTCTCAACTTTGAATATCGCCCTCATAAAACCCCAAACATAATACCCCTCAAATGCACTGATAATTGCGGGCATTATTCCTTGCTTCGTTCTAGTCTTGTGCCCTGTTTTTGTAAGGAGCATAATCCCAGAACCGTATATACGGTGTTATTCAGAACGGTTTAAACAGCGATTTGGGTGTATAAATCTTTCAATGTAGAAAGTGTCCAAGGCCGTAATTACGGATACGTATAGAATCATGCCTGTACGGTTTATACGGCCGTACAACTCAACTTTTGAATACCTCAATATGTATTCATCACATCACATCACATCACAATCGAAAATCACAAGATCTTTTCTCCGACCTTAAGTATACAGAATGCTGAGTGAGCTGTGCCAGAGTTCAAATTCAAATTTGATCTAACGGCGAATTCTAGGGCTGTGGGGGGGGAGGGGGGCTGCATATATATATATATTATGGAGTTGATTGATGCATATGTCATGATTTCATAGTAACAAATCTTGTATGTACGTACATATACGTTTACAGAATCATTATCATTTACTCTGAAACAACTATAAAATAAAGTGCACTCACTGCACTGGGGCCTATCCTATCTGGTATGTATATGTAGCAGAGAGAGAGAGAGAGAGTACGTGTGTATGTGTGATTATCATGATCACCTTCGTATACACCCAATGTTCTTACCTAAGGCTTCGAATTCGCCCAGAGGGTTCTGTTACCTCAGAAGACTGATTCTGATTCTGATTCATTGGCCATGGTACCAGTAATTAAAGGAAGCGGTAATATTAATAGACGTCGAAGCTTTTCACTTATGTACTTTAAGTAGGCTTTTTTTGTTCTACTGTACATGTACAGCTACATGTAGCTTTATATCTTACTAGGTACTACGATGTAGATAGGTGTTTCCGGAGGATACTTTGAATTCTAGAGTATGATAGCGCATACTAGCTAGATGTATATATTTAGTAAGTGATATCTCGTAACTCGCACAAATCAGATCAGTACTCGCCGTAGGTATTGAGGAGTAGAGTAGAGAGAAAAGCCCTTGCCCTATAGCGAAAATTCCGACTTGTGAACGGAGATGAATATGTGCATGGGAGTAAGGCGTATGTATATAGAGAGGAGCATGATATGCCCAGCCTCAAGGCTCTCTCTCTCTCTATATCACACATCATACATACATAAAAACATGATCAAGCGCATGATCAACCAGATTTCAGGACCCAGTTTCACGTTGACTTGCTACCTATTATGCCTGGTCTTATGACAGCACTACATAAGTTACCCTCAACTCTTGATTACCAAACCCAATTTTCCAGATTCTTACCAGTTATTCCCGAACATCCTTGAATAGAAGTCGGCTTTGGATAGGAATGGAGGTTATAGACTGAATATGATTCATGTGTTTTGATCGCGATGTTTATAGAGGAATAAATACCATCACTCATTCTAGTCTCCTTTTCCCACTCAGATCTTTTTGTCATTCTTCCTGATTGGTGATCTTTAGTAAAATATGCTAGATTACAGTGATATACTTACCCTGATAGTGACTCTCGGAGTCTTGGATTTGACTTTTACGATAGGAAACCTGTATCAATTAATCGACACTCGCATCCATTCCATAGGGCCCGAACCAAAGCTATATGAAAATATAACCCCAACCTTAATCCCCGAGAAAATCATGCACAGCAATTGTAATTAGCAATAGATTTCCGCGTGCCAAAATACCCATGATCAGGAATTCGAACTATGCTACCTAGTCAAAATGACGCGGAACCCCATAAACACTGTATACAACGGTATATCCTGAAACCGCCTTGAACCGTTAAATGTCTACCTACATAGGTAGTACCTCCGTCTATTTGATATATGCGTGTAATTGGAACCCATGCATTCCGGAGGTCCATACAGCGATATACACATCTACACGCTTACACACTTTTGACCAATTTCTTTTTCTGGTACCTGGCTGCAAATCTATATCGCGAAGTGTAGCCGGCCGGGAGATAGAGTTTTGGTAGGGGGGGGCTTATAATTAGCTGGAGCTCGTCTCTTATCCATCTCCATGATTTTCAGATATCACCGGCCCGCTCATAAACGGGATAATTGATATAAGGAAGAGTGCAGACAGACGTGCCATCTACTCTAGTAAGCTAGCGGATGTAAATACCGATCGATATCGGCTTTAAACCTTACAAGTCCGAGAGTGGAAAGAAGACGGAGGCAGGGTGTTTGCTTGTCTCAAAGGTATGTATGTATGTACCTGGAACTATGTTTTTCTTTTTTGAAATCTCGGATAACTATGTGAATACATGTGTTCAATGACGGCTCATAATGAGTATAAATTGCTCCCTTGAACAATTGATTGAAATAGCCATGGCAGGAAAGAAGACTCGAGTAATTACAATAACTCAAATTAACCTATAGCTAGGTAGTCGCAATTCCATGGCTGAAAACGTTTGATAAAGTCGAAAGAAGCAGAGTAGGCCGAAGCTAATAATTCGCCGTCTCCCAGGTCTCAGTCCTGGCAAAACCCTCAAGGTTGACGTTTCGCCCTCTCTTGCAATTGGCCAAGCGGGTATATACGTTGGAATATATTGAAACTCGGACGGGCATTATAATGATATATAATTGACCTTTTGTCCACATGGGTATCCCACGCTGTCAAAACTTGTGCGTTGTGTTGCACTGGGGAAAAGTGTTCGCGCTAGGGGAAAACATCCTGGGTGACCAATATGAACATGCAGCCGTGCCGCCAAACCTTCAATTAAGAAAAAAAAAAGGTTTAACAAAACCCCACGCCACCGCGATGGGTGGATCGACCCCCACGAATCGGAAAACATGACATGAGTGAATCGGGATACACTTTCCCCTTGTCTCGCACTGAGGAGTGCCTGCCTACCTACTCTATGTCGGTAGTGTCGTGGATCTTTTTGGTCTCGGCGCTTCTTTCCCAATCCACACATTTGGTCGAGTGCGACGGACAAGTCCTCCCTCCAATCGCAATTGGTTGTCTTGACCACCAAACGTTTATGACATTTGAGCTAAAGTGATGGGGAAGAGCGGAGGCCTCGCTCGAACTTGCCATTAGTGAAAGCCGTGACGCTCCAATCGCAACTAGAACTCAAGTCAGATCTGAAAAAGGCTACTAATCTACATGCTACTCACCTTTTATTTCGTTCAGCTGAGCCTCTAAAAAAGTACTTCCTAGACAGCTGTGACTGACTGCCATGGCAGCTGCGCGGGGTAAGTACCTAGGTAGAGTATCACACACATGCGCCACCGGGACTTCACTGAAAAAAAGAAAACAACATTGTGGAACCTTGAAAACGTAACTTAACGGGCACCGTTTTCTGGCATTCGTTTTGGAAATATGACTGTCACAATCCGCCGGTAACCGCAGTGCACCGCTCGGTAGGTAGGCAACATCGTGGACATGCATCCCACGCTTAATTTGCTGTGCATGAAGGGGGAGTGCGCGGGGCACGATGTGGGGGTTTTGTCTATTCATGTTGAGGTTCAGAACAATGGCAATTGTCCCCTCTCCTCGACTTATCCGCGAGCAAGCTTAAGATCGATGCCGGCTATGATCAGCTTCCCCACACATACATGCTAAGCTTCGGCTCGGATATCCAATTGCATATGACCTTCGCGAATTCGCTTGGCCGAAGTCATGCAACTCAAACGCAAAATGTGTGTGTGTGTCAGTCCAGCTGATCTCCTCTACTTCAAGTTAAACTTTCTACGAGTGCGCTGGGATTTGAGGGAGCTTTGCAATCGAGGTGTTGAATTGATCAGGCCTAAGGCCGGAAGAGTTTAAGGTCAAGATGCTGTCGGTCTAAACTAGGTACTTCCTACAGTCACGCGATCGCAGTCAACTCCCATCTTTACACGGATACCAGGTAAGGGCAGTTACACGTCGCAGTGCATACAATAGCATTCAATATTATAATATAACGCCTTACATTTTCATGCATTATGTGGAAGACTCCTGTTGGCTGTCAGGAGAAAGATACATCAGCTCTTCAAGTAAGAATATTTGCGCTTTGGTAGCTTTTTGGGGCTTACAAGGGAGTTGGAAATACATACATACGGTACGATCATCATATGACTTACTTTTAGAGCTTTTAAGCAAGCACTACTATGGGAAACTCCCTCTCTACATGTCTATTATTATGATTAAATGCAGATTCTACCTACCTCACCATGCATATGAGAATTAGGACAGCTCTTCCAATTCATCAATCAATCTGTCGCAATTCCATCAAGCCTTACGATAATCCTTGAACGGCAAAACAGGATCGGCCAGATGGGTCAT